AGCATACGTATCTAAATTAAACTGAACAGCTTTTGCTGATTTCAAAAATGTTTCAGTTTGAAAGTTCAATCCGTAGTTTCATGAAGAATTATTATGATAACCTTCATAAAAAGCCCTTATTTTTTTAAGTTTGTACAGCAAAAATGCAAAATATGAAGCTAAAATAAGATTGAACCCTAATGATTCGGGTTAAAATTACGAACAGACCAGGTTCTACTTTTTAATAAAATATTCGAATATCATCAAAATTAATGAGATTCACGTTAAAAGATTGTAACATGTTGAATATAGTGAGTTCTTTCCGTAATATACAGTACAAACATCTATATTTGTTTGAAATAACTCCTGCTCTTTTGCAGTGTGAACTAAAGCATGACTCTGACCCTTTCATCAGAGCTCAAGGTCACTGAAACAAAAACTTGAACGTTTGGATATTGTAGTTGCGACCATGCTTCCTGTTGCAATATGAAATACCCTTCACTTATTGGTTGTCATTTTAGGTTGAATATAGTATTATATTAAATACAAGAAACATATATTTTAGGCAGACTAGTCACATTTTCTTGCTCTGAATCGGATTAAAACCCTGTGGAATAGACACTGGCAGCATAACTAGTGTGAATGTTTGTCTAAGAAAATTTGTGTCCTATTAGTTTAAAGTAAAAGTCTGAAGTTGGTTCATTTACACAGGGACTTTTTAATTGAAAAGATTAATTCTTTGAATTCTTAGGTGAGTACACTATTAGATATTTGAAAATTAATGTATTTATATAGACTCACGAGAGATATGTTCTCTATTTGTAAGGCGGATAATACGTTTCCACTGAGAGTTCCCAAATGGGAACAAGATCTTTCATTGTGAAGAGCAAATCTCAAAGTGAATTGAATCATGGTTTCCAAATATTTTGTGAACACTGTGTGAATGAACATCACGACGGGATTAGAAAAGTGTACTCCCATAACAGCTAATTGACTTTATAAAAGCCTCTGGGGTTAAGTCATAAAGCGTTCCTACTTTTAAGATATGGAGGACAAGGTATTTGTTCATGAACCTATTTAATTGGCAATGTATATTAAATCCAAGACATCTTCACGCTAATTTATTGAGCGTATATTGAGTAGAACAGCGTAAATTTCACTGAACGTTCCATTTAAAGTTTCAACTTTCCTTTCTCCTAATGTTGTCATCCGGGACGTCGGGATGTGCTGTAGTAGTTTGATAACAGGAGACAAGCATATAGCTTTGGATGATTCAAATATTCATCATCAAATACAGCACTATGATGTGCAAGAATAGTGCACTGAACGAACGAAAAGTGCCATAAAAGCTATAGAATGGCTGGATATCACACTTCTACTGAACACTGAACAAGGATGTTTATCCCTAACCACATTTCTCAGATTTTACTAAATCTCCTTCGTACTGACTGTGAGAAGATCCTGATAGCAGAACTTTCTGTTCAGAGGCTAGCATAGTAATATCAAGTAGTGAAAAGGTATAAAAAAAGGAGTCCTGGAAATCAGAATTTTTTCGGTTCCTTGGTTTGACTCCAATTCCATCTTATGATGATAACAACGAAATAAATAGCTCTGCGAGTCTTGGTTAATGCTCCCCTCATTAATTTAACTGAATACACTTTATATGAAGGCTGCCGGTCAAGTGTCTACTCCAGATCACAGGTGAGTACGCTGTGCCTCGCATCACTTGCAACTGTTGGCCAATTTAGACCAAACGCATCTTTATTGATGGGCCTAACGTGATCTGGCGCACTAAACAATAAACTGTAAGACTGTTTCTTGTTGGAATATTACACATCATTTTTTAATCACATTTTTTTGCGTTGTGATATTTCCTGTGTATTTTCGGATATTTTTCTCTCCCATTTGTATATCTTATCTTCATCATGACGGGACGGAGACCTAAATTTTTGAAATTAAAACTTACACCTCCCATTCTTCAACTGATGCCATTCTGGCCAGACAATATAGAAGCCTGGTTCTGTTACGCATAATCTGACTTCCACAGGCACGTAGTGCTCAGCAATGTTGAATTATGGTCTACTATGATATTAGTACTGCTCTAATAATAGACTTATCCCAAAATTGTACAATTTTCATGATGTAACTGACTAATCTATAAGATATTACGTGGAAGTCACGTTACTATCCACACCAACTCATCGCGTCGTAACAATCATCAATATGTGATGGACAACACACTTAAGCTAGAGGTAGAATAATATATTTAATATGACTAAAATGTATATAACAACATTCAAGGAGAGCCACGCCTGCAAGACCGAGCCATGCCATCCGATCAATTTGACTTCACTCTATCCGTTGTCCCCGCCATCTTCATCGTTGGGTTTTTCTACGCTTTCAGTGTTGAATACCTGTCTCCTCAAGTGTCCCGTGTTCAGCATTGGGGACTGCGTAGTTGGGGCTCAATGCCACTACAAGGGCCCTATTACTTGATTTTAGCCGGCACGCCGCACCTAGTATGCTTACTACTTATGTATCTGGATCTTACGACACTAAGAGTGATGCTATTCTTAAACTTGGAGACTCAACCGACTGGCAAAGGTTAGACAAACGTTTCCGCAACATCGAGCTGCAACACGGCACAGCAATAGAAGTGTTGTTGCAAATGTGGGGGACCATTGGGCAACTGACTTTCGACGAGGGCTGTCTAAACAGCAATTCAAGTCTGAGCTTCCAAAACAAGTGCGAGCAGTACTTGTCTCATTTCAAAATGACTCCGTGGACGGACTTGACTCATCTACCGATCAGATTTTGGAGATCATCAGAAACTCAGCACCAAGGTTTATTCTGACAAAGAAGAGCCTCAAACGAAACTAATGGTGTTACAGATCTCTGTCATATTCTCGCTCGTTATCTTAGTATTCATCATAGTCATAGATACTCCCGAATTACTCACAGTTCTTCGCGAAAGTGATCAGTCTCAAAGCCGTAGGAGACAGATAATTCTGATTGATGCTGGTATCACAACAGGCATGGCAGGTCTTCTCGAAATCACAGAAAACCCTGAAGTTCTCCAATCTTCAAAATTTCTGACACCAATAATTGGTATAGACCTACTACAACATAATCTACTCATCAATCCGAGCGAATGGACGTTAGTAGGCGAAAATACCAAATTATCTGTTCGTGTAACTCCGTCTTCTAGTTGTTGATTATACTCAGTCACGATTAAGCATATATTCGATCCTTATTTTTAACGGATTTTCAACAAGTACCTCAAATCGCACAAAACGTGACCAGGATTACGTGTAACCGGTAACAACACAACTAACATAAGGACTACAGGACCACCTGTATTTTTGAAAGCGCGCTGACTAGCCTTCGAAAAGCTTCTTTTGACCCAAAACGAGTTCAATATATGATAGAGTTGGGACTTATTCGACCATCGAACCATCTGCATCTTCCTGGTACATGGTCCCTAAAAATGCAGCAAATGTTGACATCCAATCGGTGATTATGGGCGACTGAATATGTGAACCGCTTCTGATCGCTACCCCTTGCCACGCATCTATGATTTGACAGCTACTTTAAAGAGCAAAACCGATTTTTTCGAAAGTCGATCCGGTAAGAGTACATTGCACGATTTCCATCGCTGCTGACGACATCCGTGAAACAGGTATCACCACCCACTTTGAACACTGTGAATTCTGTTTATGCTCTTCGGTCTAAGAAATGCTGAACAAACTTTCCAAAGATTCACCGGTGACTTGATTCAAGGTCTGAACTTCGTACACGCATATGCAAATGAGTGCTTTATCACAAGTCCGGAAAGAGTTTCATCTCCAGCATCTGAACGGGACATCAAAGTAACCATTAGTATAACCGTAGACGCATCTGACCCGTCATTCGAGGGAGTCCTACTGCAAAGAGTAAACAACTTATGGTAATCTTTCGGATGTACACAGAACACTAAATTGGGGCATAGTGCTTTCGACAGGGAACTCCCAACTTTGTATTATGTTGTACGGTACATTCAACACCATGTTGGAGGCCGAAAATTCAATCATTTTACCGACGGTGAACTTCTCACCTACTTTTTAATCTCGTCTTCACACAATATCCTCTACAAGAGTTTCATCGATCAAACTACATCTCACAATTCACTCTAGATATACAACACAGGACGTCCGAGTTATCGAAATTTGTTTATAGGTCAGATGAACCACGTTGGCGCATAGCAGTACTAGACATATTGGAAGGAGCGTGTGAACGCAAATCCTTAACCAATTAGACTAGACCAATGTCGCGGGCAGTTCACGTTCTTCACAGAACAATTAGAGGCTATCTTTTCGTCTTAGCGCGTTTCAAGGTGTTTAGTGACAGAAATTTAAAACAGCAGAACACACTACCCAAACACCTAGGGTGAAACCTGCACAGCAATTCCGTTCGACCAATAACATCTTAGAATGGTCACTATTTTTTATTGCTTCTGATCCATGTAAAGTAGAAGTACTGGTGTCGTGTTGTGCCGAAAGATGCTAATAAATCGGACATGAAGGAGCTCGTCGTCGACTGAATTACTAGACGAGATCCAGTCTTATGTACCACGTAGATCAGCCACGATCTCACAGAAAGCAGTCCTTCTAGATTATTCCTCAGGCATTTTGACCTCTGTGACTAATAAAATGATTAAACACTGGAATAAAGTAACGCACTCCGATATCCTTACATCTTGGTACAATCCAATCATCCAGTAACGAAGTAAACCAATCGATAGCTATGTATTTGTCCCTCTATAAATATTTTAAGCAAGATTCTGGGATCACAACATTTAAAGTTACCCAAAAGACAAAACTTTGCATAAAGTTTAAATGCGGGCGCAAAATAATAAACTGGTTTGTAGTCGCTCATCGTAAAGATATGTGACACATTGGACATTGGATGGTGTTTTACTAATAGTCTATCCGGTGGCACTGTACAGAATTCAGGTGGTGTTGCTAATACCGAACGTCAGCGAGATGGTAGGTGTGGTATTGTATTGTTTCGTCCCACATGGACGATAAAGTTGGCGTATGGGGAGCGTTTGTGTTGTTTCCATAACATGCCTAAATAGCCGGTTAGTGAGACTCGTAATTGTTTGAATGTTGATTGCCGTTGCGTGTTGCCTGCGATGTTTACAGGTTGCCGGCAATGGTGTCATTCAATGTGCACACCCTAATTAATATGAGAGCAGAAGTCACCAAGTACCTTAGGTGGCTTTTTGATCATTGGCCTAGGCACGTTCTCGCCCATTGAAACTATTGCTTGCGACACGACATCGGGGAAATCATTAGATGTACGCTATTTTTCTCAAAGGGACTGGGTATTATTTACCGGAGACTAGCTAGGAATTCTGTTGATGACTCAAACAGTACAAATCGTGTTGTAGGTTATCCGCCTGGCAAATATCTAATTTACCGCACAACTAAAAATATTCGTATACAATGTGCAGTTTTAGTGAGACCAATTGTAATTCACTAAGGAGTTTATAATTAAGTCTTAAATGGTCTGCTTGGTTGTAATAAAGTGACGCGGTGAGACTGACTCATCTTATGACGGTTCCTGGATCTCCAACTACTTTCGACGAGTAATCAAATCCTGAAATTCTTTTCTAATTGGCGTCCCAAGTAGCTAACCAGAAGTCCTTCAAGAGAAATATTGACACCTCAGGGTACGCACTATAACCTGCCGACTTCTCACGGGCTCGCTAAATATACCTACATCTCTACCTGAAGGCTTCAGTGGTCCCCTGCTTCTAGATACGATAGTGCGTCAAGCGAATTATTTGAACAACTAACCCCACGATTTAAACATGCCTCCCCACTTATAAAACAGTTCACAAATCCCTTTTGGTAGTTGTCTAAGTTAAGAGCCATAAGGGCGTTTGATAAGGGGTCCAAGTTCCACATGCGCTGCGATACTTGAGCTACAAAGTAAAGTCCTATTTTAACCATAGTTACTTGTAGCTGTCGTCTTAGCGTGCTAGATTGTAGCCGTTGAATTCAAAGAATACTTGTATTGGGAGTTGCATGTTAGGTCATCAACGACTTGTCGATTTATCCATAACGCTTGTCCATGTGCTTCATAGATTGTTTGCATTTATATCCTGTCAAGTTGCTCGCTAGTACTTTAAAGCAAACAGGGTGATTTTTGGATTTTCTCCCTTAGGTGAAATTTACGGTAGATGAGTTGCGTCGGATGATGGATTTTAAGCGGAATATCCGCAATATGTCCGTTATAGCACACGTAGATCATGGGAAGTCCACACTTACAGATTCACTTGTATGCAAGGCCGGCATTATTGCTGATTCACGCGCTGGAGATGCTCGGTTTACAGACACTCGGAAAGATGAACAGGAAAGGTGCATCACTATCAAATCAACAGCCATCAGCTTATATTATGAAATGCCTGATGAAGATGTCCAGTGCGTAAAAGCAATTCAACCCATCGCTGTTAACTCAGAAGGAAAAGAAGAAAAAGGGTTTCTCATAAACCTCATAGATTCACCGGGGCACGTCGATTTCTCTTCAGAAGTCACTGCAGCCCTTCGTGTAACAGATGGAGCTCTTGTCGTAGTTGATTGTGTATCAGGTAATTTGCTTTTAAATTATGGTATTTTGTTAGGTGTCTGTGTACAAACCGAAACGGTTTTACGTCAGGCTCTCACAGAACGAATCAAACCAGTATTATTCATGAATAAGATGGATATGGCAGTCACAACTCTGAACTGTGACATGGAAGAACTTTATCAAAAGTTCCAGAGAGTGATCGAAAACGTCAACGTCATAATTTCAGAGTTTGAAACATCTAATAGCACAATGGGTGATCTGGCGTTAGATGTTGTGAAAGGAACTGTAGGTTTCGGTTCGGGTTTGCAAAGTTGGGCGTTCACATTGATGACATTTGCTAGACTTTACTCAAGCAAATTCGGAATTGAACCAAGTGTATTGGTTAAACGTTTTTGGGGTGATAACTTCTACAACGTTAAAACAAAAAAGTGGACCAAAGAAAAACCAGCTTCTGACGGCGTTCGTGGATTTAACCAGTTTATACTGTCACCAATCTACAAGGTTTTCGATACTATCATGAAGAAAAGTAAGGACGAACAAGTCGAATTACTAACGAAGATGGGTGTAACGCTAAATGAAACTGAAATGTCTCTTCCTGACAAGCAACGACTGAAAACAGCATTACATAAGTGGCTTCCTGCTGGCGACTCGCTCCTGCAAATGATATGCATTCATCTTCCTAGTCCTGTCACTTCACAGCAGTACAGAGTAGAAATGCTTTACGAAGGACCTATGGAAGATGAAGCAGCTATTGCAATGAAAAACTGCGATCAGAATGGTCCAGTCATGATGTACATTAGTAAAATGGTACCGACTTCAGATAAAGGTAGGTTTTATGCATTTGGTCGTGTGTTCTCTGGTACAATTGGGACAGGACAAAAAGTAAGAATAACTGGTCCCAACTACGTTCCAGGGAAAAAAGAGGATCTTTACGAAAAGTCTATTCAACGAACTGTACTTATGATGGGTCGTTACACAGAAGCGATTGAGAATGTTCCGTGTGGAAACATCTGTGGGTTAGTAGGGGTGGATCAGTTTATTGTCAAAACTGGCACCATTACAACATTTGCAGGGGCTCATAACTTGAAGCAAATGAAATTTAGTGTCAGTCCTGTAGTCCGCGTTGCAGTTGAATGTCAAAATCCTGCTGATTTGCCAAAACTTCTTGAAGGCTTGAACCGTCTTTCCAAAAGTGATCCCATGGTCCAAGTAGGTTATTGTAATATTTATAACATATGCTTTTAGATAACGCAGGAGGAGTCGGGTGAACACATCGTCGCAGGTGCTGGTGAGCTGCATCTTGAAATTTGCCTCAAGGATCTCAAGGAAGATCATGCGTGCATTCCTTTAAAAATAAGTAATCCCGTAGTTTCATATCGCGAGACAGTAACGGAGGAGTCAAATCAAACATGTCTGTCGAAATCCCCTAACAAACATAATCGTCTGTATATGCGTGCCTTACCTTTATCAGAAGAATTAGCACAGGACATTGATGACGGAAAAATCACTGCTAATCAAGACGTAAAAGATCGTTCTCGTTATCTAATAGACAACTACGGATGGGATGCTACAGAAGCTAGAAAGTTATGGTGCTTTGGTCCAGAGAACACAGGACCTAATGTTGTGGTCGATACCACTAAGGCAGTTCAATATTTAAATGAAATAAAAGATAGCGTTGTCGCTGCGTTCCAGTGGGCAACTAAAGAAGGTGTTCTTTGTCAAGAACACATGCGTGGAGTCCGTTTCAATCTCATAGATGTAGTACTGCATGCAGATGCTATCCACCGTGGAGGTAATCAAATCATAGGTACAGCACGTCGATGTTTCTATGCCTCTGTTCTTACTGCCAAACCATGCTTACTAGAACCAGTTTATCTGGTAGAAATCCAAGGACCAGCCACTGCTATGGGAGGCATCTACAGTACTTTGAATCGCAAAAGGGCCATCACACTTTCAGAAGAACGAAAAACTGATAGTCCAATGTGTATTACCAAAGCTTATATGCCGGTTAATGAATCTTTCGGTAACTCATTCTTAGTAACCTCATATTGTTTTAGGCTTCACGACTGATCTTCGTGCTGCAACTGGCGGGCAAGCTTTTCCTCAGTGTGTCTTCGACCACTGGCAAATTTATCCTGGTGATCCTCTCGACGAAAACTCAAAGCCTGGACAGGTAGTTGTGGAGGCGCGAAAACGTAAGGCTCTAAAAGCAGGCGTTCCTCCCTTAGATAACTTCTTGGATAAACTATAACACCTGACCTTGTACAATGTCTATTAATTAATAAATTGATTTCTTCATTGGCTTGTGAGTTCATTTACCAACGGTGTTTAGTGTTCATCCTCAAAGTATTTTGTTGGTTTTTAGTTCTTGTAAGTGTTGCTTCTTAAGATTTATGGTATCACATAGTGCTTCTCAAAACACTGAAGGCAATACATTATATGTTTTAATCTCTGATAGTTACTTTCCTAAAACTTTTCTGCTCTATTGTCCAGACGATGGTTATATCGTTGGAAATATGTAGGTAAGATGATATAAACATGCCACTTCACAGCATACTGCAACTCAAATGTTTATAAGGGTTAGGAAATAATAAATACCTTGATGGGTTTCAGTATAATTTTCGAATGATATGTGATAATTTAGTGTTGCGTGAGTGGTTACTGGAATCTTATGTGGCTTTAACAATGGCTTTCAGCTCGTAGCTTAGTCGCTGGCTAGTGTTATTTCATGTCGGTTTGGTATATCAGGTACTTTACGTAGAACGAATTGGACGTGATTCTTCCTCAAAGTGTCTCCATAATTGTCATTTCAGAGGTAGCTACTGGCCTATATGCCCACTCCCAATCATCTTGGAAGTCGTTGTTCTTGAGATTGCGTTGTCAAATTTCCATGCAGGGGGAATTTTCAGTTTCGTTCCGAATGATATGGCAAACAGGTTTTGTCGACTTTCAGGTTTTCTGTGTATAAGCTAATACAGCTCTTGATAATTCATTCATTTGCTAAGTATGCACCCTATAAACCGTTGCTTAAAGTTGAGAAACAGCACGGTTTCCTAAGTCGAAGTAGGCGGTAGAGTTGGCCGTGTCGAAAATCGAGTGCTAGTCCGTGTATATTTTTTTATCCCTGGCTAGTCAGGTTAACAAGACAAGGCATGTGATGGTGGCCGGCCGTCTACGGTCTCATGTAAGTTTCTAGAATCCTTACTTTTACTCATCTGTCATCAATGTGTTTGAAAAGTATTATATGCAGAAATTAGGACCTGAAGGATAGTAGATATTTAATGTGATCGTGTTGTATGGCTGCATTTTTCAAAATGAGTGATAATAAAAGTTGTACCCAATCTGATTGGGAAAAGGTGGGCTTTGATACCTCTTGTAGTCATACAAGGGTGTCTATGGAGAAATAAACGGGATTTTGGGGTGTTGCAGTTTGATGTTCGAATATAGTCCTGTGAATTCAGTGACTTGAATGACTTCAGGGTGACGCATTTTGACCGAACAAGTTCCTCTTATTTTAGCGTCAACCCAGTTGATGTAGTACATCAAAGTGCGTGACTGGGTAAGATAAGTAGCTGTCGTAACCGATGTTGATTTCACAATTAATCCTTATTGAACATGGATTGTCTGCAAGTGCAGATGGGCAGTTGTGTTAATGTCATAGAATACTTATTACATGTGGGGATGATTCGTTTTCAATGACGGGTGTAGTTTGTGACTACGGACTTCATTTTAAAGTGCTTATTCAAGATTTGGAACGATTGCTAACTGTAAGACAGAACTTATGTAAAATCTGGCATGATCCAATCGATAATTTTATAGTCATAAGAAACATTTGCTGTTGTCTAAACTGCTCTTAATTAATCAAATCACTTAATAAATGTAGTGCTCAATTACCTGTCGTGTTTTTTATCATCAACTACATAAGTCTGGTTTTTTGCTTCATACTATGGATTAGGTTGATCATTAAGTAATTCCTCATAGTCAGTCAGTTGCGCTTTTTTTCTTACAGTGAGCGATTCATGTATTGATAACTGATTTAGTTGTCTCCACAGGAATATGAAGCTAAGTAAGCGATTTGTTCGCTAATAACTGAAGAAACTTGTGGACCTAGGAAAGTAAAGTAGAGATGCTACCTTGTCTCGAGACCTAAAGGTTGAGGTTAGATCCTCGGTGGAGCAGTGGATACTCACTGTCAAGAAGTTCTATACTAGGATGAAACAGTTGTCTAAATACAAGCATTCCGTAATGTGAAGTTAACAATCTCCCCAACTACCTTACACTGTTAACGTTGTTTAAAGACTTGAATTGAGAGATAATTATGTAATTAAGTAAATATTTCTGATAACGCAGAATTCCGTGTGGCTACACTGGAAAACTAGTACCTACCAATAGTTATAAAGTGTGAAATCTCAACACTGATTGGTTCTCTTTACATGACAATGTTATATATAGCTGATAATCCTGTGAACTTTTTAGAAGACAGGTGATACTGTTGAATATTCATTCAGTTATTTGTTGGAGAATTTCACGTCAAGCGTAGTACATTTTTTAGAATAAAACGGTGCTTACTTAATGTGCCGTACAGTCACTAATGTTTAACCCAGTCTTCCATTCATTCATTCGCAGATTCAGGATCAAACCCCAGTTTTTTAAAACAATTAGTTCTTTTGGTAATTTTGGGCAATGTAATAAGAAGACGACAATTATCAGAACTGAAGGTTTTGTTGTTTCTGGGTTAGGTACTTCTTGATTTATTAGAATGAAATATCTTAATGTAGTAGACGAGAACACTAGTGAGGACAACCGAACGTGTCTGAACACAACATAACGGAGTATCTTAGTAAAATCTGAGAACCATACATTAAATACTTTGAAAAATGTCAATCAATTGTCACAGACTTCATCGTTCCTCTCCATTCTCATTCTCTTCGATCTTAACCAGCCATCTCACTTTCGATTAGTGATACATACTGCTTATCTCTGTTGACATCAGTAGCACATACCACAATAACACTTAAAGGTGCCACTACGCTATTTATACACCTTTTGTCAATGTTCCAGAGGGTGGGCTCGAGCCCCCCCCGCAGAGTTTACAGATACACCCTGTTGTTGACGGCTTCTAAGAAATCTCAGTTGAAGACTTCTTGCCCCATGCCTTCAACTGCTTTACATAAAAACATCGTACATGAGATGCCGATTCACTCGGACCAGTGGCCACATAATAAATTGGTCGATAGGATTTTTTTATAATTAATGTCTTGACTGTTAAGAATGGGCGAAAGAAGTGTGTAACTCTGGGAGTTATTTTCTTAGGGATCACTTTATATATCATCTACATATATTCGCTAAACCTTAAATTCAAAGTACTTTATATTAGCCTAACTGTAAGCTTTCATTTGAACTGTTATTTTCTACAACCACAACCTGTGGTTAATTAATAACCAACTTGTTAGTCATTGTTGTATTATGTCTTATCGAGATTTATGAGTTAGACTTCATGTGTATAATCACGAGATTTTTATGTATAAATAACAGATAAACTATAAAGTACTTGGCTGACTTTTAAGGTGTTCTTATGAGTGATCCAGAAACGGCTGATTATAATATGAACAATCGACAATTAGCGCACACGACAGCTGCGTTAGAGTGTAGAGAAATGGTGAGTGTTCTAAATGCGGCTCATCAACTTTGATGAGGTTAATTTCCTCTATATCTGACTCCCATAAATAGTATTCTGATAACAGTATATAACGCAGGCTAAATCTCATAGTAGAATTATGAATTTACTGGAGATTATTCAAAAGCCTGAACACCAGTTATAGAGATAGTTTATTGTTAAACATTAGCAAAATCCACAAGCATACAGGAAGCAAGCACACAGTGAAACGAGTGAGTGAGTGTGTGTTAAAAATCCGTATATATTTATGAGTGTTAATTGGTTGTGTGCAACAACCAATGAGAGAATGGATAAAAGATTGATGTACAACACGCGCTCAATCAAACTAACACAGAAATTTACAGTGGATCAAGTGTCTAAATTACAGTGGACAGATATATAATACAATAGCTGAATGGGCTTACTACATGTTGTGTCCCGATGAAAATAATGAGTAGTAATTTTTTGGCATCTATTTATGGACCGATACTGTGCCTATATATTTGTCGTATAATTGTTAATTAACTAAACTATTCATATTCATGTCTCTCTTATCATAAGCCTTATTTTAACCTATGAACTGTTATTATACGATTTCCCATTCTTGAATTATTCCCTGTCTATTAGTCACTACCTCCCTCATTCACAGCCACTTCTGGCTAATTCTTGTACAAATATCAGATGGGTTTTGTGGATATTATAGTAATTTCAATGGTTAAGATCATGAGTCAGTAGAGGCTAGACCACCATGAATAACCTGAAAGCACTGGACGGCCGTTTCGTCCTATTGTGGGGCTCCTCAGCAGCGCGCATCCACGACTTCACCCCCTTCGAGATTCGGACCCAGGACCTACTGGTTTCACGCGCGAGTACATAACCATTAGACCACTGAGCCGGTATCCAACGGTGGAGTCCCACAATAGGACGAAACGGCCGTCCAATGTTTCCAGATTTTCCATGGTGGTCTAGCTTCAATTGACTCATGATCTTAATCATTGAAATTACTATAATATCCACAAAACCCATCTGATACTAATCAACATATGCTCGTTAGTAACTGGTTTCAAGAGGTATATCCTGGAGTTCTAGTGAGTAGTGACCAGTGGAGTCCAACCAGGTCTGTTGTGAGATAGTAACTCACTGAAGACAATGGTGGATGTGTAGCTCAATTTCGTGGATTAGTTGAAGTTAGACATTAACACCGTTGGGTGCCGGCTCAGTGGTCTTGTACAAATGTTGTTTCATATTTTATTGGTACGTTGTAGTCTGTTTGACTGATATATAAACTCAGTATATCTGAAATATAATGATTCATAGTGCAGAGGCTGAGATTGGCGTTCTGAACTTAACTGGCTGGGCTAGGCGGAAAGCAAGACCAATCAGAACTCCAGGCTGCTCGCACGTGTTTTACGCGTCCTTGATCCGATCGATAATTCGCTGCTTCTGATTGGCGGCTTTGGGCTATAACACTACAAGAAGACTCAGAAATATTTGCATAGCCGAAATTCACAGCAATGTAGCAAGCAGAACTAATTGTTAATGAGCGTAGTAAAAAGCCCCAACATCAGTGTGATACTGGTAACTACTCAATGATA